GATCTCTTGGGAGAGGCAGGATCCAATTAAAATTCAGTTTGCTGTCTTTAGGAAAGACATAAGCAGTTATATGTCCTTTGAGAGGGTCTTAAGAAATACACACCTGAGCTTTAAATGGCTACTCATTTGACTGTGAAGTTGAATTTCAATTCATCTGGGAGTCAGAGCACAAGAAAGAATTCAAATAACAACACTCTGATATTTCCCGGTGTGTTACCAGGGAGAAAAGAGCTCCTAGATAATGAATGCCTTACACATTTGCAGATATCACCAACCACTTATAAAAACAAGGCTATTGTTATGCATAAAACTCACTCCTTTTAGGGGAAGCCTAAGAGTGAATTGAAATGTGGCTGACATTTTTACCACAAGATAAAATGCTTTTTTTTTTTTAATACTATGTTTAAGTTCTCACAGTTAAAAAAAAAAAAAAAGAAAAGAAAAGAAAAAGAGAAAGAAAAAGGAAGGGGGAAAATCCATAATCCAGTATTCATAAGCAATTCCAGATACGTCATCCATAAAATAACTCTCTGGAAGACATTATACTTCTAAACACAAAAGCTATTAGCAGCCTTTTCTAATTCTCTTTTAGTTCAGCAGGGGAATTACTGGCTATATTTTGCAATCCCACATATTGTTTCAAAAAGACAAAAATACAGAGCAGATTGAACTGAAAACATACAGACAAATACCTCTATTTCATCCGCTAGTTGACTGCTAAGTGAAACACTCCAACAATACACAAGAGCTTCCCCACCCCCACTGGGGTTTTTCTGCTGACTTCTTTTGCACAACAATGGTTTCATGGATTTTAAAAAAAAATATTTTTTTAAAAGCCACTGCATTGCTGCAGAGCAACTCCTTCTCACTGCTCCACTTTAGCTTTTTTTTTTTTTAAATTCTGATTGACTATTATTGTTTTAATGTGAGATTACAGAGAGATGGAGAAAATAAGATCAGTGGGTTTATTATACAACTATTTTGGGGTACTCAATGGCACTATACTCAGGGTGATTTAGTTGCATAGTTCATTTATTCCTTTGACAAATTTGTTAAATAGCAGTATTAGTTAAGGCATTGCAAGATGATGTGGCCTAACACCTTCATTTTCATTTATGGGAACAGTACAACACAAGGGGCTTGCATGATCCAGGGAGCCAGAATCCTCCCATTTCATGCCACCATCATCTTTTAGGGTTTTGGAGCCCTCTGTATCTATTCAAGATCAGGGAGAAGTTTAAGATGATACACCTATTTTTTACCCACCTTCTGCTCACGTGCATCAGAATCAACCCATCCCACACCCACACATAAAGGCAAGGTGGTTTAGGAGTGTATTTTCTGAGTGGGCAGCTACTGCCTGTGATAACATCACACTCTTGAAGGGGTCCGCTGCAATAAGACATGGTGCAGGGCACTGTGGAATTTTCAAAAATAAATCAACCTGGGATCGTGTCTTCCAGAAGCATGCACTTTAGCAAATTTTTTGCAAAAATCTTATTTTCTTATCAATAATAATACTTAACATATATTCAAAGCTTATTGTGCATCAGGCTCATAATGAATCCAGAGAGAATGTGAATGGTATTTCAAGGCTCACCCTGGTGTGTGGAATATCCAAAGTCATGCTCTTACCTACTGACCTCTACAGTCACTCAAGGGCGAGGCAGAACAGAAAGACAGCAGAAAGAGAACCAAGCTGGTCCTCTCAAAAGATCCTACCATAGGGCAGAGCTCACATCTGACAATTAAGAACTGTGTATCATTAAACAGATAATACCTACTGTTTGGAAAAGTATTACACTTAATCTTAGCCAAAAGGCTGAGAAGCAATGGGGTAATAAAGCCTGATTCCAAGTCAGAAAACAATGTACTCCAAAACACAAATTACTTATAAACAAATTTTTTGAGGTGCCTGCACTATTAATTATTTAAAAGGAAAATCTGAGTCAAATGAGATGGAAATGCTAATTCATAAAGATGAGTATATGAACATCAGTGGGGAAAATATTTACTTAAAAAGTATGAGAGACCAAAATGCGCAAGGTAGGTGAACACAACACTTTAACCAGAAGATTCTGTTAAATTCTCACTCTATATATGTATAGGCCTATCCTGCTTCACATGATCCTTTTACAGTTTGATGGCTTTTCTCTGAAAGAAAAAAAAAAAATGAAAGATTCCTCTAATTCTTGTTTCCTCTAATTACTCTAATTCTCCCAGGTTTTAGGGACAGGGCTTTATCAGAAGGAATTCTAGAGAGGCCCTGTCTTGGAACAGAAAAGAAGTGATTTCCATAAAGGATAGAGTTGGTTTGTATACTTAGGGAACGTGAATCCTTAGCAGGATTAGGTATAAATAACCTATAAGATGCGTAGATGAAATTCTGTCAGAGGAGAGAGATTATCTGCAGTTTTCGAAAGAAGTGAACTCTTAACTAGTCTTTAGAAATTAGTAAAATTGATTGAGGTTACCAAATGGAGTCTATTTGGATAGTCTCATTTGGTGTTCATGCATATGGAGCACTTAGCCAGCTGCCTGGCACAGAAAGAGTGTACAATGAGTGGCAGCTGTGATTTAAATGCCGATTCTACACGGTGTTTATTATTACTTCTGATGAGATGGTGAGATGAATCATGTGCTATAAACCGAATGTCTGGGTCCCCCGCCCCCCCGAAAGGTACATGTTGAAATCTAACCACCAAGCCGATGGTATTAGAAGTTGGAGCCTTTGGGATGAATAGGATCAGTGCCTTTACAAAAGAGGCCTGAAAGAGTACAATCACCTTTAGCAATGTGAGGACACGGAAATCCAGGCGCCGTCTTTGAAGTAGAGGTCAAGCCTTTACCAGTCACAGAATCTGCTGGAGCCTTGATCTTGGACTTCTCAGACTTCAGAACTGTGAGAATTGAATTTCGGTTGTGATAAGTTACCCAGTTCTCAGGTATATCATTATAATAAACCCAAACAAACTGGGAGACAGAATATATTCAAAAACCCCAAGCTGAAGAAATCAGAAAGTTCAATGGCCATGGGAGTCTCCTGGGAGAAGGGTGGCCTGAGCACCAGCCACCTTGCTGCCCACCATGAGCTCCACTTCTAATTCTAATCAACCTCCAGCTACCTATCTTAAGCAGAGCACCTTTTGGGGCGGGTGATACATAGGGACTGGAGGTTACACACAAGGCCTCTGATCTGTAGGAACCTAGCTGGAGAAAGCCAATGAACTGATTTCCATGTACCAGGAGTGATGAACCTGGGGGTGTAGATCAGAGCACCATGCTTCCTGGAGAGTATGTGACCCTGGGAAGCAGAACTGTGAACCCCTAAATTCTACTAGCTTGAGGGGATTGTCTTTGGAGCACCTGCTAGTCTCCTTGGCTTTGGGAGGAGTCAAGAAGGAGTGCCACACAGAAGCTCAGGTTCCCTCTGCCCTTGATAGTGACTGATCTAACATGCCCTTGATAGTGACTGATCTCACATGCTACAGCTTTGTGGTAAGGAACTTCCTCTTCTTGATCCCTCAGCTAGGGTCAGACAGTGTATCAAGTGGGACTGAGACTACTGTATCTTCCTCCATTCCTGTGCCTCCAGGGTCCCCAAAGATATCCCAGGCAACTAGAATTAAGGGCAAGCAGTGAACATCACCAATATTGCAAGGGGACTCAGCGTTCTGAAGGAGGAATAACAATCCACACACTGAAATGAATGTCCTCTCATGAAATAGAAGTGCCAGCAGAGACAGATAACAACATTCTCAAAGAATAAAAAATTCTCTTGAAAAAAATATCATTAGACTACATTTCCGGAGCTCCAGAACTTAGGCTTTAAATTTTTAAAATTTAATCCAGTTAAGGAAAGGATAGTTTCAGATGAGAAAGTCTCACTAATAGCATGAGACAATTTAAGGCAAATACCAACGAGTAGTATTGATACTCTAACTGAGCTAATGATTAAGACCTGCCTGCTAACCATCCAACTCACTTGGGATACCTGTTAAAAATATTGCTTTTTCAACTTACCTGACCCTTAGTAAATCAAAAGCTCTGCAAATACAGCCGGTGAAACTGCATTTTTGTTTGAAGTGGCTACCAGTTTTATTTGATGGGCACTGGTTATGAGGAACTGTCGAGCCTGGCAGCAAATGTTGGTGGTTATTAGGGTGAGAGATCACTGGGTCTGCAGGGATGGTCAGAAGCACAGAGAGGAGGGAGCTGAAATGGGCTGAGGAGTGGGTGGGGGTTACAGATAATGACAAAAACATGAAACAAAGATGACTGTTTTCTCTCTCTGAACCAAACTTTTTACTGGGGGTAGTCACAAATACTTGTCACAATTATAAATGAAATACTGAGTCTCCAATTTTTCTGTGTGTAGGTCTAACCCGAAATATTATAAAACACATTGAGTATATAAGAAGTTGAAGAACTGCAATTTTGCAGAAGCTTATAAAAAAAAAACAATGGGTCTAGCTAGTGCATATTTCCTTTATTCTGTGTGGGCACATTTGATAACTGAAATACACAAGTGAAATGTTTTTGCAGTCTTCTGCTTTTAACCACTGACAATAACTATGGTCTTTTATCTCCCAGGGTTCCATTTCAAGAAGGAAGGATCGGTTTTGGCAAGGTGTGGGTGAACAACACTCATAAATGGGGTACTTGCATGACAAATATGTAGAGGTGTGTTTAATTTAAAAGAATCCCCTTGAATATCTTCTCCCACATTTCCTGAACTACTCCCACCAAGGGAGATAACACAGTCTTTGGCTTTAGCCCTTCAAATAGGTGTGTCTGAGTCACCAAGGTAAAAGAACAGGAATCAAAGCATTCATGGATCAGGAAAGATGATTCTTTGATAACTTTACAGTTAAGTCATTTCTTTGGAGCTGTTTGTTTTTTTTCCAGGAGTTGTGATGGATTTGAACTAAATGCATTCATAAACTTTCACCTATATCCTTATTTACCCAAACTTTCACCTATATCCTTATTTACCCTAGCTCCATGAGACTGCCTTTTCTTCAGAGACCCACAGCACAGCTACTTCCTCAAGAGAAAGAAGCCCAGTGTTTCCTGTGTCAGACCCATCGCACGGCAATTTCATGAAATACTCTATGACAAATGGAAAGCTCTCTGTCAACAAATTTTGAATATGATGTACATGCTGTTCTGGGCTATGGGAAACATTAGAATATCTGAACTTCTTGGCTCTGAAGTCAAGAAATTACTAACTCCTTTTTTTTTTTTTTTTTTTTTTTTGGAGGGGGATCCAACCCAGGGCCTCGTGTATGCTAGACAAGCACTCTACCACTGAGCCACATCCCCTACCCCCTTTCTTTTAACTCCTGAATTATTGAACTTCTATATTAGTTTCCTAGGACTACTTTAACAAATTGCCACCAACTGGGTGGTTTAAACTAAATGAATTGATTGACAGTTTTGGAGACCCTAAGTCCAAAATCAAAGTATTGGCAGTTTTGGCTCCTCCTGAGGATGTGAGGAAAAGGTCAGTTCTGGGCCTCCCTCCTTAACCTGTCAAGGGTTGGCTCCGTGTTCACATGAGCTTGCCTTGAACAACTGTCTCCAAATTTCACCTTTCTTAAAAAGACACGAATGCAGAATTAGAAACTCACTCTAATGATCTCATTTTGATTACCTCTATAAACACCCAATCCTCAAGGTAAAAAAGAACATCCATGTTAGGGGATAAGGGGACATTTCAACCCATTAGGCCACAGAGCCCTTTTCTCAATATGCCACCTATTAGCCTACATTTTATACTCTGGGAAATGTGACTGCAGCTTCATAAGTACCATGCTCTGCCTAAGTGGTTCACAAATGCTATTTACAATATATACACAGCATCACTGGGTTATACTGTTAGCCCCCACCCCCTAGTCAAATCTGCTCTTAGGGATCAACTTAAGAGCTTACTACTTTAAAACCTGCCCAGAAGATTCTGATGCATCACCAGGTTGGAGTTTCAGAAGTCAGTTTGTTCTTCTTTCTTATTTTATTTTTATTCGACTTGGGTCAGAAATCTTAGACAAGCTGCCTAAGAAGTGTTCCCCTTCTTTAAAGAGTGTGAACATAGAATGATTTCCTCATCTCTGCTTTTATCCCTTCTCTCTTTCTCCACTGTAATGCAAACTGCTTGATGTGCATAGAGACCTGTCTTATTTGTCTCTTTGTTCTCAGTGTACCAGAGTCAGCACATGATAAATATATTCAATAAGTATTTATTGAATAAGTGCCTGCAGAAATGCACGTCAACATGTACAACTATGTTACTATTTAAAAAAAAAAAAGCTCTTGATGTTAACCAGAACTTTATTTCCTTAACCTTGGGATTTTAAGACATGACCCATGGAGCAGTCCCTCCTTCCTTCTACTCCAGTTCTAATGGCTTACTTTTGTCTTCAGAATACATCTTACTCACTCCAACCTCAAGGATGATGATGTTGTTGATGATGATGATGATGATGATTTTGTACATGCTACTTTGAAATTCTTCTCTATGCCCTCTTTCCCCTCCCCACCTCCCAATTGCCACCACTATTTCCAAATGAATATTTAGACTGTCCTTTACATTTGAAGTAATGCTTCTGTTAAACATCTCCATGATGTACTTTGTTTTCCCATTGGAGACCTTGGCCATACTGGTAATAACGGGTTCAACACCTGCTCTCCCTGCCAGACTGCAAGCTCCATGGGGCAGGCTCCTTGTCCACTGTGTACATTTTTGAAACTGCAGAGACCTGCACATGGCAGGAAGTCAAATATTGAGTGGTTATCTACTTTTACCGTGGTTGTGGGTGTTTTTCCTCCGCCATTAAACTGGGAGCGCCTCTGGAGCATGAAGTAGATTTAATTCACTTGTCTATTTTTGCTACCTGGCACATTGCCTGGAAGACAGAATGTATTTAATAAATTTTCTTAAAATGTGTAAGGCTTTTGTTTATTTGTGTGTTTGTTTAGTTGTGCCTAGATGAAAGCGTGGGATAGAAATTTAGAACAAGGGTCTATGTTAGTAGTGACATAAAAATAGATTTGTTCTTTCCTGACACTAGAGTCCAAACTTTAAATATCTGGAAAATAAAAATAAGCCAGAACAACAAGGACTATTTAATAGAATCAAGGCATCCCCAGACAACTGAAATGCTTTTGGAAAAAAAGCGAATTAAAAATGATAATAAATGAGACAATGGCTTAGTTTTCAAATTGACAAAAGTTAATTTTCCAATTGCCAGATGATGGAAAATGCATGATTTCAAATGCAGCTCTTGGCATATATTTTTAACGAGAACCTGGAACATTTGTCAAATGGCAATTCCACCCATTTATCATTTTCAAAGGCAGTGACAAGCCCAGCTGCAGGCCAGCTGGGATGTGTAGCAATGACCTGACTTCAAGTTACATAAGACATCAGGGTCTTAGTGACCTGAACCTCTTCTTCCTAAGATGCCCCTCCACTTTTCAACTTTCCGCCATTTTGCTCTTTGAGGGTCAACCTGTGGCAGTGTGTTGTTTCTTTCCATAACACTCAACTCTGGCTTTTTGACTTTTTGTTGTCCCTACTTGTAGGCAATCATGCAAGATAGGAGGGAATAGGCACCCATTTCTCTGGGGTAGGTAGGAATATGTCTTTTGACTTTTCCCAGTACCACTGCTGTACAGAAAGAAAAATTTTTGCATTGGACCAAATTGTCTCCTTAGCAATTTGGAAAGAGTTATATCTTATCTATTCTCCTTTAAGATTAAATGGACTTTTAAAACCTTTAATAGATGGAAATGATACCTGATGAGGTATCCTGGCAGTAAAAGAAATCAAACAGGGACCCCTTTTTGGTAAAAGGCATGGACTAGTGGTGATGTTGAACGTCAGGGTCTACTTCATAGCAGCCAAGACTGGAAGAGTCTTCTGATATAAATATGGCAACATGAGGAAATGGCTTGATGTTTTGAGAGAGTGGGATCCTTCCCACCTGAACAACCCCCAAAGCCCTGACCCAGCAATGCCATCATCATGATTGTTAATAGACATGCACCAACCTCACAGAAGGCCTTCCACTGAGACAGCATGCAAATCATAATCCACAAATGACCAGTGATTCTCCAACTATCTTGTCACCTGAGGTTTTCCAGCAAGACACCCATGCCCCTTTGTTGTAGAGTGGTTCCTGAGGTTCTGGGCCAACACAAGGAGATAAACTCCAAAGGAAGGAAAAGTAGAAGTTCCAGGAACCAGTTCAAATGTGCTTAAAAACAATGCTAGCTCCAAAAAAAAAAAATCCTTCAGGTTAATGAATGAACCATAAATTATCAGCAGAGTTAATAGTTTCCTAATGCTCTTATAACATGTCACCATAAACATGGTGCTTAAAACAACACAGTGTATTATCCTGGTGTTCTGGTGTTCAGAAGTCCACAGTGGGTCCTACCTATGCTAAAATTAAGGTGTTGCTGGGTTTGCATTACTACCAGAGGTTGCTGGGGAGAATTATTTCCTTGCCTTTTAGCTTCTAGAAGCTGTCTACATTGATCACTTAGTGGCCTCTTACTCCAACTTCCAAGCCAACTCCTTAACATTTTTAAAATCTTTTTCTCTCCCTCTTCTCCTTAACTTTTCCCTCTTCCTCTATTTCCAGTCATATTTTCTTCTGTATTTAACCTTATCTTCCTGACTCCCTGTTATAGGGTCCCTTGTGAAAACATTGGGCCCAAGAAGAATACCAGCCTAGTTTCCCCATAAGATTAAGGTTTTAGCCTTAATCTGCAAAATCCCTTTTGCTATGTAAGTAACATACTCACAGGTTTCAGAAATCAGGATGTGGGCATACTGTGAGGAATCGGAATCGTGTTCATTATCCTGTCTACCACACTCACACATCATCATCTTAATGATGAGTGAATTATCAGCACCCATTATCACTTAAGCAGACAGCAGGAACTTTTTAAAAAGACAGTGGCCAAGATGGCAAAGGAAAATGATCACTTAGGCATGAGGTATCATGAATGCAATGGAAAAGATTTGCTGATTTTGAATTCTTGTTTGCATAGACAGTAAAGACCAGTAACTGAGATCAGAAATGCATAAGAAGTCTTCAGGAAAAATAAATAAACATGATGTTAAATATTTTTAATTTGAGATAAGATATAGCATCAATTACTTAAGCAGCAGAAGTAAATGCAATCATTCTCATGTATATAAAATATAAAATGATGTCTTTTAATATATATTTTCTAAGGATTTGACATATATTATTATCATTATGAGAAAATATAGTTCAGAAAATAATTCTTGAATTTGTAGAGGTATCTGTAGCATATACTTTATTGCACCAGACATAGTGTATCATATAGATAAATATGTATAAAAAAGCAAAAAAGTGACATTTAATCTAAAGTAAGGATTTCCTATTTTAACATAGGTAAGTTGTGAATATTCTAATTTACTACACATAATGCCCCTTGTTTTATGTCACTCCAATCTAAGTAGGCATAAATATTTAAAAATTTTTAGGGATCTGCAAGACATAGGGAGACAAAGTTATATAATATCTCATAACATGTTTCTATAGATATGATTGTGTAAAGAATATATAAGCAATAACCATGTTTTGGGGACAAAATGTAGAGTACTATGCATCTTCTTTTTTTCCTGAAATCCATGCTTTTCAGGGTTTTGACCACCACTGGCCTCCATTGATTGACACACTCAAAAGTTATTCTATGGAGAGGCTCATGTAGCAAAGAACTGAGGGAGGATCCAGGCTAATGGCAGTAAGGAACTAATGCTCTCAAGGACAATAGTCTATTTAGGAACTAAATCCTACTACCAACTACATGAGGAGTTTGGAGCCACCTCTTCTCCCAAGTGGGGTAGAAATACCTGTAACCCTGCTTTTATGGACTAAATTGTGCCACCTCCCCCACCAGATTTATATGTTGAAGCCATAACTCTCAACATCTCAAAATGTGACTGTATTTAGATCATTCAAGAGGCAATTAAGTTTAAATGAGGTCATTAGTATGGGCCTTACTTTGATATGACTGATATCTTTACACACAGAGGAAATAGGGACACAGACATGTGCAGAGGGAGGGATTCACAGAGGAAATGTCCATCTACAAACCAAAAAGAGAGGCTTTACAAGAAACCAACCCTGTAGGCACCTTGATTTCAGACTTCTAGCCTCCAGAGTTGGGAGAAAATAAATTTACATTATTTAAGCCACCCAGTCTATGGTACTTTGTTATGAGGTCTTAGAAAACTAATATACACCTTAATTATAGCCTTGGAGGAACCCTGACTAAAGGACACAGCTAAGGAATGTCCAGATTCCTGACACACAAGCCTGGAGATGACAAATCTGTCCTGTTTTGGGTGCTAAGTGTTGGGATAATATGTTATTCAATAAAAGATAACAAATACATCTTCTGATATTGTCATATATATATATCATGACATTTAAGATATTGCATTATAGGTAATATATGTATTAATCACTTCTCAACTCTGTCTTAATGCCCAAATGTAGAACTAATTTTTTCACTAATTTCCCTTTGAAGCACAATCATAATGGGTCTAATGTGATTTGCAGTTTTTCGTAAAGATCTGTGGAAGTATAGGAAGCAGTCACAGTACCTTGGATAAAGCCTTGCAAAGCCTTCTTCCTTTCTGCAACATCATCTCTGTTATGTACATATATAGTTCAGGCTCTGGAAATTCATCCCAGACCAGCTCCCAGTGAATTGTAGAACTCACTGGGAATGTAAAAGTTTCAGGCCCCACTTTGACATTCCCTGTGAGTTCTACATACAGTTCACTGGGAGCTGCAGTTTGTGCTGGAGTCAGAAAACTAGGTGGAAATATAAAACATTTTTGAGAAGCTCAAGAGATCTCAGAAATAAGGGGCCTGCATCTCCAAATGCTCTAGCAATTTTCTTGTGCTTTCTATTCCATTCTGGATATTCTCTTTTGTTATTTTGAATTGATTTGGGCCAATGGCTCTGGTGGCTTGTGGAATGGTAAACATTGATTTTAATAGCAGAGTCGTCTTCTGTTTGATATCTGTGTTTTCTCAAAAAGGCTCATTCAAATTTTGTGTTGGGCTTTAATAAACCCATCTATTCCACTTACCTAAATCTATCAAAGCACTTACCAAACAAAGATGATACTACCTGATGAGTATTTTCCATACTGGACTCCTAGATAATAACATTTTTATATAAAATCCATTTTCCTGCACCTGCACCATATTGGCCCAAGTCAATGTCTATGTCAATTCACTTTTTTTTACTTGGTGCTCATAAAGTTACCAGGTGTTCAGTCAGCATTTTATTTAAAAAAAAAAGCTATATTAGATAAAGGAGTAGATTAATTAATTTTCACATGTGATTTGATCTAATGGATAAATAAGGGACTGAGCAATCCTGGGAACGTGTATTAGCCTTAATATTCCTCAGGGGGAATAGTGTTCTAGGATCACAGCCCATCTTGAAAAATCAAGGGTTAGGGGCTGGGGATGTGGCTCAAGCGGTAGCACGCTCCTCTGGCGTGCGTGCGGCCCGGGTTCGATCCTCAGAACCACATACAAACGAAGATGTTGTGTTCGCCAAATACTAAAAAATAAATATTAAAAAAATTCTCTCTCTCTCTCTCTCCCTCTATCACTCTCTCTTTTAAAAAAAAATAAGTATGCACCACTGTGCCCAGCTAATATTAAAAAAAAAAAAAGAAAAAAAAAGAAAAATCAAGGGTTCTCAGCAGATCCACATTCTTTTCCCCTCCATGCTGTGGACAAGTCTCTAGGTTTGGTCATGCAGCTTCTCTGCCTGTGACTAGATGACCGAGTTTAAGATGGAAACCTGATCTGACCACAGGCCAAGCCTGAACTTCTAGTCCAGTTCTATCTACAAATATCAATAGTTATCAATAGTCAATAC